AGTTAAATAGTGTCTAGGGTATTATACTTGCATTTTCTTAAATGTTGAATATAAATATTTCTACTAGAAGGAGGCCCTGTGAAGTCGAGTGTTTTATATTGTTGGTAACATTTTTTTCAAGGAAAAAAGTTGTTTGGTCATCTACTCTGTAAAAAGACTCAACTGTGGACCTGTGCTTAGTACACCTCATTACCATCGCACTTGAAGTTGATTCCAGGCTGTTGGTTTAAGGCTTTCCTTTAAAGTGGCTTTTGTATAAACCCAACCTTTAGTATTTATGATAACTATCTGACTTTTTTTTACCAAATACATGAAGTATTTCTCTGGGTATCAATTTGAAAACGCAAGAAATGGAATTTATTTATTTTTAAGGCTAAGAAGGTACCCACATACCCACTGCGGAAGTCACTCAACTATTTCCTATTTCATATCATGTAATATGAAACCTCTATCAACAACCCTAGTCCTTCTCCACTGAAGTGCCTTACTAATGGATCCCTGGACATATCCTTGTCTTTATAGCTTGTCTGCCATTTAGCTGCCTGTTGAAATAGCTAACATTCAGCCTCTTTCTGCCCCTCAGCATTGCATGTGTGGTTGGGTAGCCTTGGCAGCCTCGTGGCAAACAAACCCGATTGTTGGTTTTAGATTTCATGCCTCATTGAAACCCTTGTATGATCCTGAAAGTGGTGATAACTTATGTGTGATACAAGGTTTCATGCTTAGACCTTTTTATTTCCCTTGAATCAAAAAGCCAACGAACCAAAGATCTGTTTTCATAATAGTAGAGAATATTTTCAATATAAAAGTGCTATATCAGTTTCATGACAATTTTACACATGAGTGATTTGTTGTTCTTTATTGAATTGAATGCTGTATCTATTTTCACTTGAAGAGCTTGCTTTCAAAAAGCTTTATCATGTTTAATTGTGAAGTACGTATTGGGCCTATTTTCTTAATGCACATGTAAAGCTAACATTGACTCAAGGGTAGTGTTTTAAATTCTATTTCTATCTTAAAAATTCATCTATAAGACGAGTTCTTCTTTTTTTTAATTAAATAATCATTTTATTAGGGGCTCATACAACTCATCACAATCTATACATACGTCATTTGTGTCCAGCACATTAGTACATATGTTGACTTTATCATTCTTATAACACCCGCTTTCCACTTGAGCCTTTGGTGTCAGCTCATTTTCCCCCTGGTTATATAAATAATACACCCATGGTTTTAAAAAGGAAAGAAAGTGAATTATTTTTTTTAGAAGACATAATATTAAAGAATTACAGACAAAACAGTCTCTCACCAAAATATATTATAAAATTATAATTGTAATTTTAATTCTAGTTATCACTGGATGTATTCTATTTATCCTCACATTTGTATACTTTATGTACTGAGAACACTCTGAGAAAATATCTTTAATTATTAAATATAAAAGCATAAAATCTATGTATCTTTTCAAAGGCTCTTAAAATTGTATGTCCTGGAAACAAGTTTGACTTAAAATTTTTAATTTTTATGGAAACACTGCAGTGACACCTTAGTTTGGATTGATTAGAACAGCATGGATAATTATAAACATTATCATCTCAGAGGTTCCCACTTGGAATATTTTAGAAATATATTGATTAGAGAAATACTTGAAAATAATGTGTTTTAAAAGGCAAAGTGATAACCTAATTCAGTGTCATGTCATGAAGATGTTTTTTAATTAGCAATAGAGTACATAGATGAAATATGCATAATTGTATGCCCTAGAACTATTCATAATGCACTTAGATGTTCATGCCACTTCAGAGTGAATATGTAAACCAACTGACAGAGAAAATCAGTCATAATGATGGAGTAATACATTAAATACTTTTTAAAGTATGGTTATATATTTATATTGTTTTCAGGGTTATGGTTTAGCACTGAGACTCTGCTTTTAATGTTTTATTTCCCAGTTTTTCTCCTTTTTAGTGTCTTGTGACTGCAAACTACCAGTTCGATGACTCAACCTGACCCTATATATATAAGGTGTCTGAGACTGTCCATCTGTACAGAAGCACATGCTTCATTTTCTCCCACAGGGTGTCTGCTGGCTTCCAGAATTCCTCTTTTAGTGACTAATACTCATAAAATGAAGGCAGTAACAGTACCTACCTTATATTCTAGTGCTGAGTAACTAACATCTGCCACCATTGATCTCATGATTGCTCTGCAGCCACCTTGCTTAATCTCTCAATGGCTAAGTACCAGGTCAGAAGTTTAAACCCACTACTGCCCTGTGGGGAAAAGATGTGGCAGTCAGCTTCCATACTGATGACAGCCTGAAATCCGATGGGGTCTGCTTAGTCTTCTGGGGTCACTATGAGTCAGAATTGACTTGACTGTAATTGTTCTTCTAATCTAGTGGTACAGCATGTAATTTTTAGATGTGAAAATACCTTTACAAAATAATTTATCACTTGCAGTTATTGTAAAATGAGATATTCTCAAGGTAGTATAACTGTTTAAAGAATTATATATTTTTTCTGTTTACTTTTTCTATGTCATATTTTCACTTTTATGACATAGTATAGACTTTTTCTAATACCACATATATTTGAGTACAAACTGACCCAAATATCAGCAGAGGCACCTAATTTTTTAGAAAAACTGCATAAAAATGTTGAAAAACGTGGCTTATGCACAAGTACATATGGTACATATTTTCACTTTCTATGCCATAGCCCCCATCCCCAACTAATCAATATCCCAAGGAGTCTTGGTAATGCAATGATTAAGCACGTGGCTATTAACTGAAAGGTCAGCTGTTGGAACCAACCTGGGGATTCTTAAAGAAAAAGACGTGGCAGTCTGTTGCGTAAGAATTCAAAGTCTTAGGAAACCCTGCGGGGTAGGCTGCTCCATCCTGAATGTCACCATCAGTGGAATTGGCTACATGGCAGCCTGCTTTGGGGGACAGGATTCTAAGTACTCAGTTCAGATGTACCCACATATTTTAAAGACGTACACAATGCTCTTTAATGTCGTTCTATTACAACCTGAAAAAAAACCTCCTGTTACACACGCACTTAGTGGTTGCATGTTTTTATTGTGATTATCAGACCTGTAATATTTGTATCCTTGTCCATATGTTTAGATGTTTACAGGAGCAATTATTTAGGCCCAAATTCGAAGTTACTTTCCTGGATGATGGAATACCTGCATTTCAAGAGTTAATTGGTCAACTTGGGGAAATTTCTTCTATAAATACTGGATTGTATTGTACTAATTACCATTAAAGGACTGTGTATGTTGTCACACCATCATCAACTAGCACTGTTCATTTCAATTATGCTGTCAATTTTCCAAGTTATGATTTTTATTACATTATTTATTATTTTAAAACATACTTATTTAACACAACTACTTCCACGTGTGTCTCATTTACCTTTATCAAAATTTATCTTTTCTTGTTTTTTGAGAAGTTCTTTATTTGGCTCTATTTTGTCTTTTCTATGTGGTATGTTTTCTCAGTTTGACTTTTAACTTTGCTTATTTTTCTCATATAGAAATTTATACCTTTATTGAGTAAATTCTATCATAGTTTCTCTTGGTAGTTTATGAATTCTTACTGTTTTTCAAATATCTCATTTCCAAAGTTATAAAATATCTCCCATATTAAAAAATAATTTTATGACTTTATGCATTACAATTTTTAATCTCTTTGGAGTTCATTTTTATACCTGCTACAAGAGAACGTTTAACTTTCAGTTTCTTTGAAATAGTCAGCCAAACTTCCTACAAGCCTCTTGCTTAAAAATTTCAGAACTATTATTATTTGCACCATTAGCATTATTACCATCATAATTGCCACCACAGTAATTTCACATATAACAAATCTGGAATCATTATTCTGAAATTGATACTATTATTATTCATCTATTGATTTTAACAGTAGAGAAACCACATTAAATAGAAGTTAGCCACTTACCAAGTAACAGGTATCTAGAAGATGGTGGAGAACAATTCAGGATTTGGAACTACCTAGCAGAATTCTTGAATCTGCACTATCAGTCACGACCAGGGTTGTGTTATGCAAATTATTGTGGGTATTTTGTACCTCAAACTATGATGGTACTCCAATATTAAAAGTCCTTTCTATTCTGTCTAGTCCAAGACTCTTCCCTACTCTCCTTAGTCTTCCCAACTTCTGCCCCAACCAGGTGGTAGACATTTATCTTCCCTCTTTTGGTGCCTGTCCTCTGTTCAGTCAATGGGAGGCAATGACTGAATCCAACTGGCAGCTGAGCAGACCATGCTGCACATGTCACATGTCACAGACGTGTAGAGCTGATATTGTGATCCTTACCACCCAGAAGAACATGAATAGTTAGTGAACGGAAATGTGACTTAAATTATTTTTAAAACTCTCAAATGTTAGTGGAATAAGCTAATAAATATGTGGCTCAAGTATTGTGTTAAACTCTTGCTAAATTAAAATACTATAGTACACTGATGTTATTTTCAGAAAGGAAATTTAAATATGGGTATAATGTTCACCTCTAAGATGTGATTGATAGAAAGTCTTTTTTCACTTATATGAAATTTTTTATCTTTTTACAAGTTTCCTATTATTTGCTCTTGAGTTGACTCCGGTTCATGACAATCCCTGGTGTGCTCCAGAGGGTTTTGCAGCAGCAGAGCCCCCACCCTATCTTCTGAGGCACCGCTGGATGGCTTTGAACTGCTGACCTTTAAACTAATCATTAGCTATTAACCATCTGATAACATCTACTGTTTACCTTTCTAATATCTTCAAATGTGCTACACCCTTACCATGCTCTGGTGTTACAAGGCATGTGCCACAAGACAATAAAAGGTGTAAACTTGTCAGCTGGAAACAGGCATGTGTGGACCTTCATTAACCATGCTGAAATGATCAGGAGGCAGGACAGGTAATTTTTCAGTAACGTAGTCTGATTTGATCATGTTTAACCAAGCATTTTCTTTCTTTGGTGTCTCAGTCTTCAGGAACCAGTATTACTGTGGATATTGCTGTGATGGGCGAGGCTCATGGCCTCATCACTGACCTCCTGGCGGACCCTTCTCTGCCCCCGAACGTGTGCACCTCTTTGAGGGCCGTGAGCAACCTGCTGAGCACACAGCTCACCTTCCAGGCCATTCACAAACCCAGAGTTAGCCCCATCATTTCCTTCAGTGAGAACTACACCTGTTCTGATTCTGAAGAAAGCTCTGAAAAAGACAAGCTGGCCATTCCCAAGGTGCGCATTACAGTTGTTTTCAATTCACCCTGTTTCTTCTATTGGCATGTAGCTCTTCTCCTGTTGCCTCAAGTCTGTGGACAGATTCTCATCCGTTATTCACTCAAGATCTGATGTTCATGGTGACAAAAAGTAATAAGAAATTCAGCAGGAAGATATTACCCTTATACTTGATCACTTTCATAACTAGAACTTTTACCCATTATCTGTTTGACCCAAACTTTCAAGACAGCTTTATTGGGTACCTTTTAAGTGTCAAATCTTGTTTTAAGTGCTCAGTAGCGGAAAAAAAGGTATAAACGCCAAAACTAATGGAAGACGAAGCAAAGCCCCGCTCCCATTTGAGGGTGGTTTCTTTCCACTGTCTTCATGACTCAAGGCTACTTTGCTCTTTGATTTCTTGGTCCACTTTTCTTAGCCATACTCTCATGTATTTCTCAGTCTAACAACGTTTTAGGTATTACAGTGTGGGCTGATTCTTGTTATTGATATAACATATGGCCTTACAGGATTATACAATTTCTTCTTTTCATACATAAGATAAAAACATGTTACAAAAGGAAACTATAGGCTTAAATTCTCGATTGGCAGAATGAGGATAGACAACTGTGCCCTATTCAAACTTTTAGTTAAGAACAAGCTATATTAGAGATGTTATTTTAATCAGAATTTAAGTGGTCTCTTAAATTCATCCAGTCTTGCTATTTATGTAGGAGACAAGCCATTGTCTTAAACTGGTGGTATGAATAAGCCCTGACCCAAGAATGGGATCCTGGTAACTCTGGAATGAGCTCTTTGCATAGTTCCCATCTCACAATCAGCTTCTCCACAAAAGTTATACCTAAGTCTGACTGGCCTATAAGAAATGGAAGACATGGTCAACTGATTCTTCTGAGGTATCAGAACAGTTGCCTGATCAGTGACAGATCCAGAATAGGACTATTGGTATTTTTCATTGCTTGACTGCATTTCCTAGAGTTACCCTCTAAGCTACATATTTAGATATTTAAGAGATATAGGAAACTGTTTAGAATTAGGCCAGTTTTTTAAATCCCCACAATGGCATATTAGTTCACGTCTCAACAACATTGCCATCTTCTGAAGAGGAGAACATGTCTTTGGGAATCTGGAAGCACACTGGATCCAGTAGGAGTAACCAGCCCTAAGTAACAGTAGATTGAGATTCTGTCATGACTATGGCTTACACGGTTTTAGGAGATTACCTTCATTTTAATTTTTTTGATCATTTTATTAGGGCTCATACAATTCATCACAACCCATACATGCACCAATTGTGTAAAGCACACTTATACATTTGTTGCCCTCATCATTCTCAAAATTCGCTTTCCTCTTGGGTTCCTGGAATTAGCTCATTTTCCTTTTTTCCCCTCCCCCCCCCTCCCCCCTCCCTCGTGAACCCTTAATAATTTATAAATTATTATTATATCTTATCTTACACTGCCTGGCATCTAGGTTAAGGGCCCACTTTAGACTGTTTTTGCCTATCCTTTGGGACCCAGAATCTTGTCTTGGTAGTGACGATACCATAGATCAGGGTTAGGGTGTGATGGGGAAGAAATAGTAAAGAGAAGTGGGGGCCAGGAAACCAGAAAAGTCTTGTCTAAAGAGGAGGTGCTGCTGACTACATTGTTTATACCCTTGATGTCTAAGGTACACTTGCAACAAGAAATGTGGGACATATCTATAAAGTGTTATACCCTTATCCTTAGCTGCTATCATTTGTAAATCAGATTATTTGAAAATAATCAATAAACAGTTGAGTATATTGCCTTCTCTTATGAATGATATAAATTTATTAACGCCCCAAACAAGTGGCTTTTGAGGGAAAACGTTATAATGGTTAGCCTAATATATAGGTATGTAAGAGGAGTGCTGGTGTCAGAGTAGGTAACGTGCTCACTGCTGATCTAAAGGTCTGTGGTTCGAACCCAGCCACCACTCCACAGGAGAAACTTGTGGTAGTCTGCTTCCATGAAGATTCACAGCTTCTGATGCTGCGCTTTGCCCTAAAGGGTCTTATGAACCAAATCACCGTGTCACCAATAGGTTTTACATAGTTGTGTGTCATGGAACCAATAATGACTATAAAATTATATCAGAGGTCATTGGCTCCCATTCCTAAGATCCAACATTTAGGTAAACAGTGAAAATGAGACTGGACCATGTTTCCATGTAGTCACCCATTTTATCCTGAATCTTTTATTGAATTTCTAAGTATCCACATTTCAGATTGCCAATATTCACCCAATCAAAGCCTTATAAGTTCACTTTTAATTCAAATCCCAGTTCCTTGCATTATATTACATCCAACTATTAGTGATATAAACTATGGTGGGTCATAAAATGCACATTTCTTCTTCCTAGCGCCTGAGAAGAAGTTTGCCCCCAGGATTGTTGAGGCGAGTATCATCCACGTGGACAACCACCACCTCGGCCACAGGTCTGCCCACCTTGGAACCGGCCCCTGTTCGGAGGGACCGCAGTGCCAGCATCAAGCTGCATGAATCACCTTTATCCAGGTGAGACAATGCGCTGTTGGTTTCCTGGATCTCAGCTCCATTACTTATCAATGATCACTTCCTGAGGAGGAATGTGCATGGTTAGGGGTCAGGACTGGAAATGACATATCCATTAAAGGTAGAGTGGATTAGGATATCCTAATTAGACTTCAATTCTGTTTTGTGGCTTTTAGTGGAAATAAAGAGTGGCTAGAGGTGATTTCTTCAGTGTGAACTTGAGTCAGAATAAAAGCGGGCTGGATTTTTATTTCACGACTATGACCTCCATGAGACCTTTAAATCAAAGGCGTCCAATCTGACACTTAACATGTAAGTCTGTATCCAAACCTAGCCAGTCAGCTACTCGGGCACCCACCCAAAGGCAAAGGAAGAAATCAAAAGTAGGTTATCTTCCTATAGGCACCTAGACATGTGCGAAGATTTGGTAATTTAACTTTCTTTAGTGTATTTACTTAAAACTGTCAACGTGACTCGAAAGCCAGGGTTATCAAAACTAAAGAATAGATTGTGTTACATATGGAAATAATGTTAAAGAAAATATTTCATGTGAAAAATACTTTTAATCGGGAAGTTATGTGTAGTATCATTTTATTTGGGGGGGAAAAGCCTATCTTCCATGAATTCCATGATTATGAGAATATTTCTATAACCTATCTTTGAAACACATGCCACGATGTCATTATTGACCTAGTGGACTGAAAAATATTCTTATCTTTCGGGGGAGTCTCATGATGGTAAATGAGAAATTATTTTCTCCTGATCTTAGCCATGAATATAAATACAGCAAGCACCATGCTGATATTGTCAGAGAAATGGAAATTTATCAAAGCATAAAAGTGCTAATTTTTGTAATGCCTCTTTGATTAAAATGGTTTAAGTGGTTTTTTCCAAATTGATGTTCATGGTCTAATAGATCTGAGGTCAGACACAAACTAAATTGATTCTCATAATTATACTCCATCATATAACCTGCACATTTGTAACATTTCTAAATATCACGCAGAAGGATGTTAACCCTATCTGTTTTGTAAACATGTCCTAAAGTTTAAAATTACGTCATCAGTGATATGTTCTTGAACAATGTTTCCCATCATCAATTTATACAGTAGCAAATTCTGGAAAATTGTGGTTAATAGCATTCTTGTTAACTTTTGTTACTGTTAAATATTGTCACTTGCAGTATGAATTGTGTGCTTAGGGTAAGATGTGTATCAGGCTGTTTATTTTACTAACATACCTTACGAAATTTCTTGTCATAACATAGTTAATGACCTATGTGCTTTGTCTTTTGTTTGTGCATTTTTACTACAGCAGAACTGCACCAAAAGTCTGCTCAGGCCGAGTCAAACACCTTCTTTCTACCGTGTGTACTCGTGTATAAGCCGAGCTTTTCAGCACATTTTTCTGCAGTTTTTGTGGTAAAATTGGGTGCCTCGACTGATATTCAGGTCGGCTTGTACTCGAATATATATGGTACCTCTTTTTCTGTTACTCTAGTCAAATCTGCCCCTTTGCACATTGGGACCCGAAATGAAATCATGATGAGGAATGGAGTTTTAAGAACGTTTATGAGAGTAAACCCCAAAGACCCTGCTAATGTAATACTCAGACTCAAAATACTCAGATTCAAAAGAAACAAAGGATAGATAATATGTGATCGTACTTTCTATGTTGCTCCTAAAATATTCATATATATCTTTACTATGTAGGTTTATTTCCTGCCATTCTTTAATTTTACTGTCTTGTAAAAATGTCTAATATAAATTCTGAGCATAGGACAATGTTTTCATCATTATAAAAACATGAAATTCATTATGAACAGATTTTGGACCTTGTAAGGAAAAGCCTGATTGGAGGATGAAAACTTCAGATGAGTAACAATAATATAAGGAGCTGATGCCAGGGGCTTAGGTGGAGAGCAAATGTTTTGAGAATGATGAGGGCAATGAATGTACAAATGTGCTTTACACAATTGATGTATGTATGGATTGTGATAGGAGTTGTCTGAGCCCCTAAAAAATAAGAAATAAATTAAATAACAAACATTACACACAATGAGTTTTGAATGGCTCATCCTTTCAGTGGGCTGCTACTGGTGAACAGATAGCCAGAGATCCTCTTCTACCATCATTAGACACCGAGTGGAAGTGCTTCACATTCCGTAAATGCATTACCAAACTGTGATCAATTTGAACTTGAGACCTTGAAGGTTTCATTTCTGCTTTTTTATGTCTGTGCACTCGTTGAGACTCTCTCTCAACTGAAGTGATCAAAAATAGAACAAAAATCGAAAGCAAGATTTAGAAAGAGCCGACAGCTTGAATCTCTTTAGTTAGACAACTTAACAGTGTGCTCCCAGGAATTGGAAGCATAGACTGGCAGGAAAAAACAATGCTGCATTGAGAACCAGAAGGCTCTTGTCCCTACGGTTTACAGACATGGGTCCTGAGAAGCAAATCCCTAACCTCCATACCCACTTGCACCTACTCATCACACAAGGAATGTTAAGAAAAAGGAGATGGCATGGACACAATCGGGAGGGATATTGGATAGAAGAATGCAAGTAGGTACTTTAAAGAAAGTAAGCTTGAAAGAGTTTGGTAAAACTGATGCAATTCATAGTTTAAGCCATTCCAGGTCTATCTTGGAATGGTCCCCTTACCTATATAATAGGTGGAAAGAGACTATAAACTCAATGAAAAAAATTGTTAGGGCACAAAAGGAATTTTAAAACCTAGAATGGAGTTATGATGGGTAGAAACAAGACTATACAACTGACATTTTGGAGAAGAGACTGGAGATCTCCACAACAGGCACATGGACAGTTTCCTTCAACTCTTGTGAACCTAGGAACCCTGGTGGTTACGTGGGGGGGGGTCATCCCCAAGAGCTGCATTTTGAAGCCAGCAGCAGCTCCGTGGGAGAAAGATAGGCTCTCTCAGTTCCAGTTTCAGTGTTTTTTCCCTTGGATCAGTCAGAGATTGTCGGTCTTTTTCTACCATAGGACATGCAGGATTTGAAACAAGGCATTCATATATAATGCTTGAAAAGAGGGGCACAATGTGTAAGCATTTTTAGCTTATACCCCACTTATTATACAGTTTTTGCCCCCATAATTTCATAAATTTCATGTTCATTTAAAATAGGCCACTCAGACAAGGTACAGTCTTTATACACTCCCAATCTAAAAGAGGGAAAATAGTCAAATTATAAAATGAAGCCCATGCAAATTATAGAGTTAACCTATTAGAAAATGTACCTAAAATTCAAAAGACACCATTAATAGAAGGGTAAAACTGCCCCCTATGAGTTTCTGAGACTGATAACTCTTTACATGAATTTTAAAAAACCTCATCTCTCAAGGGGTGGCTGATGGCTTCAAACTGCCTTCCTCGAGGTTAGCAGTTTGAGGTATAACCAGTACACGATTAAGTAGAAGGAGAATGCTATCTCATACAAGAGTTGACTTGTACAAGTGTTTGATTCCTATTAATTAGGCACATAGGAAAATTGTCTTTCCCCTTTTGATAGCCCAGAAAGATTAATGAGTAACAGCTATATTCCTATAAATAACAGAGATGAAACTTTTGTCATTTGGAAGATGTGCTGTCATGAAGCCTGAATTAATATTCAGATTGACAAGTCTGTTGAAGTAATAAATGGTTTGGGCAAGATGTGCCCCAGTAACGGATTAATAGTTTTCCTTATTTATCTTGATATCCCTTTTTCTGCTTTTAAAGTGCTGTTCATCCTGATTCTTGGAATAACCCAGTGATGACGACTCTCACTAAAAGCAGATCCTTCTCATCTGCATATGCTGTCTCTGCAGCTAATCACGTGAAGATGAAGAAGCAGACTCTACCAGGTAAGCAGCTCACTCAGTGCTGGGAGCTCATACTCGCTGTGCGTACTGGCATGATGGGGACCAAATTTAAATATGGAAATAAATACATATTCTTTCAAGGTGGCTGTACCAGTCTTCCTATCAGCATCAGTACTAAGAATCATCTCTATAAGCATCATCTTTTAATATTAAATTTAAGATGATATTTATAAAACTTCTATTTTATTTTTAAAGCCCATTAAAATTATTTTTCATGAGTATGGTATTTATATGAGTTCAAGGAAATACTTCACTTACAATGCACATAATTAATCTTTTCTTTAAAAAAGCCTTTCTTTATACTACCCACTCCCCCCCCCCCCCACCAGATATATACATGTGGAAGTAAATGGTATTTCAATTCCAAAGAAATATAATCCAGGGTCTTTGAGAACTTTTGGAAGAAGTCCACAAGTCAGTAGCCAAAAGTTCCCAACAATATCATGGAGAAGGTTTCCTTCTCTGCAGATAGGTACAAACACTAAACTTGTGTTGTGTTTTCCCGGGTAGGGTTTGATATCTGAACGGGCTGGAAATTTCCAAATTGGGGATAATACACCACTAACATTTCTAAGCAGAAGTATCTCCCTTGCTGCGAGCTTCATTTGCTCAACAAATATCAGCGGAAGGTTTATTGTTTCAGGGATAGCACTGTCATGAGGACAGATGCAGCCTCTTCTGAATTTATATTCTTCTGGAAAGATAGACAAGGCAACAGCCATTGTTGTGCAGTAAGTTAAGTGCTAGGATAAGGGAATGAAAGAAAACTTTCAATGATAAAAAGAGACAAAGGGGGAAATGAAGCGAAAGAGTAGAGAATGGGTAATCTAGTAATAGAAATCAACATGAGTCCAAATTGCTGGAAAAGCTAGCTAGGGAAGAAGTTTGGTTTTTTGCTAGGTGCCCGCCAAGCTGGCACGGAAAGGATAAACAAGCTGTGGTGTAGACATAGGATGCTGTTGTTAGGGTCTGTGAGTTAATTCCAACTCATCGCGATGCTATAAGAACCAACCACTGCCTGCCCCTGCACAGTCGTTGCTATGGTCAAGCTCACTGTTGCAGCCACTTGGTCAGTCCATATCCATCTTGTCTAAGGTCTCCCCCGTTTTTGCTGCCCCTCTACTTTACCAAGCATAATGCCCTTTTCTAGGGACTAGTCTCTCCTGGTAACCTGTCTAAAAGATGAGATGAATTCTCCCCATTCTTGCTTCAAAGGAGAATTCTGGCTCTCCTTCCACGATGGATTTGTTTGTTCTCTTGGAAGTCCGTGGTTCTTCGGTACTCTTCCCTAGCACAGTAATTCAGAGGCATCCATCCTCCTTGAGTCTTCAGTGTCCAAGTTTCACAGGCACACGGCTTGAGAAATTAAGACAGATATGTAAACAGAAACCAGATGGTACAGGACCTTGTTAGCAATGATAAAAAGTTTGAATAACATTAAGAACAATAAGGTTTTAGGGAGAAAGGGGAAATGATTTCAGGACAGATTACCTTATTCAATCAGAGTAGATGGTGACTCAGGACTGGACTCCAGTTTTTGAAAGGTTTCATCTGTTTCTAGATTGTCCCCATCCCTAGGGTCCCAACAGAAGATCTGGGGTGTTTACTTCTCCTTCGTAGAGAGTAGTAAACTCGAAGCTCTCTTGTTTGTTTTATTTTATTAGCACTCCAGAAAATTCTATTAAGATTTTTGGTAGCCTCCTGCTTAGCTTTTTCATCTCCCTTTAGCAATGCAAGAATTTACTATCCGACTCAAGGAGAAGATTGTCTGCTTTCTGTGAGATGTTGGACATTGAAATTCTTGGTGTAACAGCACCCTGAGATGCAGTTGCTCTGTCACCAGAGCCGTGCCCTTGCCAAAAGCTCTCCTGGCTAACCTTTCCCTTAACTTCACCCCCTGGTTGTATTCTCAGTATCATGCTCATGCCAACAATCATACGCCAAAGAGAATAACTGGGTATGGACATTTTTCCTTCCTGGGAACCTGGGCCTTCAATGTGAATGGCCTCATCTAAAATAGTTTTTATTGATTTTGTCGCTCATTTTTTTTCTAGTTTTTTCAAAGCAGCATTTGTTCACCACAAACTACTCCATCATTGCCAGAAGTATAATTTCTCAAAATGTCAATGTTTATAAGAGGGTTATGGAAAGAGTATTTGTATTCTATTGATATTTCAAAAACCTTTCTTGTGATTTAAGCTGTTAATTTTAAGAGGATCATTTTAGGGATACATTCCTGTTGTTTTTACCACAAAGGTAAAAAACTAAACAACCACACTCACTGTCATCCCTGTGATGTCAGCTCACAGTGACCCTAAAGGACAGGGTAGAACTGCCCCTGGGAGGTTTGGAGACTGTGAGTCTTTGCAGGAGTAGAAAGCTCCATTTTTCTCCTGCAGTGTGTATGATGATTTTGAACTGCTGACCTGATCGTGTGCAGCCTATCGCATAACTAGTACACCACCGGGGCTCTTTGCAACAGAGGCAGAGGGTGAAAATGAGAGACAACAGCTTTGGCAAGCGTTTCTCTTCATTCTTGCTTTGTTACGGTATCTTCTTCAGGATTACACTCTAGGAAATTTTTCAGTTTGCATAGCTGAGCTGAGTGTTGATAAAATTCCTATATCTGGGTGCATGCTGAATTAACTAGACAAATCCTTGAAAGTGTGTCAATAAAGAGGAAAACCTCCATCCAGATTCAAAGGTCTGAAATTAGGTTACATCTCCCCCTGAACAGATGGTTCCTGATGTTTGGAAACCTTGACTCTATTCTTATTTGGCTTAATTTCACTAAGTAGCTGTGCTGTGACAAAACCCATTGCCAGTTCCAACTCACAGTGACCCTATAGGGTCACCATAGGGTCACCCTATAGGGCAGAGTGGAATCGCACCATAACATTTCAAGGCTGGACGTCTTTATGGAAGCAGACAACCACAATTTCTGTTTCCTTTATTATTGTCTTTTATTATCAGTATCATTTTAAAGCTCATCTTTATTTGGATCTGGGGTTTGGAAACATCACGTTTAAATTTACAGATAGGGTGACACCAGAAAATTATACATTGCAGAATTATATGTAATAAATATTAATAATAAGACATAATTATTTTAAAATACAAACTGATGAGTATAAGTGCAATCCATCATAACTTGAATACATTGGAAATTAAGGACTATCTAAACATTTTTTCTTTTAACTATAATTTTTTAAAACTTTATTGTGAAATAGATGATGGTTCATAACTTAGATATTCAGTTTTGCATTCAACAATTTATATATTTTGTTTCAAATTACCCATGGCAATGCCCTCAAGGTACCATCAGTTTTCCCAGTTGCTCCTTGTGTTTTCTAGTATCCCGTATTTTCTATTACTTCTTTCCGAACCCTCTGTACTTTGCCCTTGGGGAAATGCTGCCCTTAAACCTTCAGTGTTGATTATGGGAACACAGGGTGAGTTCAGTTCCCGAACTGCAGGGTGACTAAAGGCCAGGGTCTTGAAGGTCTCACCAGTCTCTATCAGACCAGTCAGCCTAGTTTCTCTTATAATTTGAGTTGTGTTCCACATTTTACTCTCACTCTATCTGGACCCTCCACTGTGATCATTTTGAGAGCGGTATGAGTGGTAGCTTGGCACCATCTTTTCTGGTCTCAGGGTTGTCCTAGTATATTGAACTAATTGTTTCCATATCAAATGTCCACGTCTTTCTGCTGTGAGGTGGCTGATTGGTTTGAACCACTGAGCATTCGATTAGCAGGCAGGTGCTTCAACCATTGTGCCACCAGAAGACTACCATATGACTACCATGTGTCCTGGTTCTCAGTAAGGTATGTAGGAAGGGACTGGGAAAATGGAATCAGATAAAGTGTGAAAAACCTAATCAGGAACATAAGAATCAATGACCGAAATTGGTGGGGAAAAGGAAGCATAAAGTTAAAAAGAAGGAAATAAGGAAATCTGTTCTTGGTGGTGGAGTATTTACAAGCTGCGCAGATAACCGCAAGGTTACCAGTTCTCAACCACCAGCCACACGACAGGAGAAAGATGAGGCTTTCTGATCTCATGAAGAGTTGCAGTTCTGGACACCCACAGGCGCAGTTCTACCCAGTGCTATAGGGTTGCTAATAGTCAATGTGGGAGTTATCTAAGTGTTTGTCAACTTGAGGATTAAGAGTGTAGGGGTGGAGTCGAGCCTGTCAATCAGATCATAGCCAATGAGGCCTCTGTGTTGGCATGGCCTTCTCCTGAGAATTCTGCGAATGCTGGAATGTCCTCCTTGGAGATGGAAGACGCTATCTGTCTCTTGACTCACTTCCTTGGAGACTCAGAACTAACAAGACTGACACTCTCTGAGACATCCCTGAGGAGAAGCCACATGGACCTACTCTGAGGCTCCCAAAACCCTGGACCTGGGAAAGCCACATGGTGATGCCTGCCAGCCCTGAGATGCTTACAGTGCCACTGGATCTACAAAACTTCCAACCCACTGGCCTGTGATCGTCCTGCACTCAGCATCATTGCATGTGTTTCCTGAGTCTGGAGAGGACTACATATATTGGTATCAGACATATGGGCTAATATCAGACTTATGGCCTGGAACTGGATTGGGTTGGGATGCCTTCTTAATGTACAATTACCCTTTATATAAAACTCTTTCTTATACACATATGAGGTTCTATGGATTTGTTTTCTCTAGTCTACCCAGACAAACACAGTCAGTATCGACTTGATGGTTATGAGTTTAGTTTTATTTTAGATACACTTTTAAAAAATATGAATGCTGACCATTTTGGGTGTGGAAAAGAGGCATTTATGTAGTAGACATTCTGGTTCCTTTCTTGTTCAATTATAATTAAAATGTGAGTGTATTACAGCTTAAAACAGATGGATTCACTTAAATAATTTCCCTCCAGTATTGTTTATCTTCTGCCTTTGATTGCCCAAAGTTCCTGGAGTCTTGACACACAGTCTCATGCTTTCAG